CGCGAAAGAGAAAAATCTCGGCCAGTTCCGGTATATCACGGAGGAGGAAATTCCCGCCAACAGGTTCCGTCGCCAATTCCCTTGGCGAATTTTCCCTCTTTGCTAGCGTCGTAGAAGATAAACTGGTTTACATTACGTGTATGGGTGCGCTGTAGATCTACCTCCTCGTGGTGCACCTGGTAACAGTTTATAGTGGCTAAAAGATCTATAACTGGCATTATTCTTTGTCCTTGTATTTTTGCTGTAACTGTTCATAATCTGCCATTGGAAATAAAAAAAAATGACGTCTATGGAGCCTTTCCTTTACATAGACGTTTTTTGACTTGTACCCGAATTTTTGAAAATATCAAAAATGGAATATCAGCATATGTTGCATTTAGACCACATTCGCTCATCCACCAGCAATTTCGCTTCACGACTGCATATGGTCCCTAAAAAAGATATGAATGATTAGCGTCCTGTCAGTGATTATAGAGCCCTTAATGTTCAGACCTAAAATAACATGTATCCAATCCCTAGTATTATTGATTTTGCTACTGAACTCCATGGGCGCAACATATTCTTCCATGTAGATTTAGTCAAAGCATTTCACCAATTCCGATTGCCCCAGAGGATGTCCATAAAGTTGCTATCTGTACACCTTAGGACTTTTCGAGAGCACTCCTATGCAATTTGGTTTGTGCAATGTATCAAGCATTTTTCTAAGGTTTATCGATGAGCTGACGAGAGATTTAAACGGTATATATGCATTTATTGATGATATTATGATTGCCTCAAAAAAAGAAGAAGAAGAACATATTGAACATCTACGAACTGTTTTTAAAAGGTTATATCATTATGGTTTAACAATTAAACCCTCAAAGTGTACTTAAGTGTACCTACGTTACATTTCTTAGGATTGAAAGTCTCTAAAGAAAGTATTTCTCCAATTCCAGATCGAGTTGATGTAATTTCTAAATTTCATAGACCAGCAAGACTAACCCAAAATTGCAGATTTCTTGGTCTATTCATTTTTTATCGCAGATTTGTGCCTTATGCTGACACATTTTGTTCCATTTAATTATTCTCGAAGATCATTCTAACAAAAAAAAAATATTATTCCATCCAACTAAAAAGACAAAACCCTCTCCAGTGGTCTGAGGAAGCCGAAAAGGCCTTTTTAGCAGCTAAAGAAGTTCTTGCAAAAGCTGCCATCTTAAAATATCCAGTTCCTGGTGCTCAACTCAGTCTTTGAACTGATGCAACTGAAGTTGCTATTAGCTCTCTCGTGCATCTCCAAAATGGTGAATGGGAGCCATTTGTATTCCTTTCTTTAAAAATTGAGTAAGAGTCAACGAAAATGGTCTACATAAGACCGCGAACTTTTGACAATAAACGAATCTATTAGAAAATTTCGGTACATGTCAGAAAGACGCAACTTTGTCATATTTACCGACCAAAAACCACTAACATTCGCTTTCAGAGAAAAAGCAGAAAAGTGCTGTCCTCGACAATTGAGACACCTAAATTATCGTTCTCAATTTTCCAACCATATACTATATGATATAGATAGAGAAAATACTATCATTAACGCATTCTCCCAAATAGAAGCAGATTCTATTTCTGGATAATCTATTCTGGATTTCAAATAGTTAGCCTCAACACAACTCACCGACAAAGAACTACAATTGCTAAATTTTAGATCTTCTTTGAAGCTCTCTAAACAGTATTTCTCTCTTGAAGATATTTATCTCTACTGTGACTTCATAACCGATGTTCCTCGCTTTTTCATTCCCTTTTCGTTTAGACCTGTCATCTTCCAAAGTATTCATAACCTTTCGCATCCAGGTACACTTTAAAATGATACGCAAACTTCACGTTTGGCCTAACATGGATAGTTTTATTAAAAACTCCGTGAAGGCTTGTGAGAAATGTTAGCGTTCAAAGATACGCAGGCTTACGAAATCCTCCATTTCGACGTTTTTACTTCCTGATGCAAGATTTTTCTCATATTCACGTCGATTTTATTGGGCCATTACTAATTTCTGAAGGTTATCAGTATTGCTTGACCATAATTGATCGCTTCATGCGATAGCCCGAAGTAATTCCCACGTCTGATATGTTGGCTGAAACAACTTGTAAAGCTCTAATTAGTGAATGGATAGGTCGTTTTGGATGCCCTTCCACTATCACAACCGACCAGTGTCGAAACGTTGAATCATATCTTTTCGGAGGGTTTATGAACCTGCTGGGCACTCATCGTATTCGTACCACTGCCTATAACCTCAAGCAAATAGAATCATTGAACGGTTCCAAGGCCAGCTGAAAAACAGCATAAAAGCGCAAAAAAACCGTCGCTGGACAGAATAGTTACCTCTTATACTTTTGATTATTCGATGTTCTGTCAAAGACGACATCCAAGCTACTTGTTCTGATTTGGTCTACGGTACTATTTTAAGGTATCTTATACGAATATTATATCCGAAGGTATCTTAAAATATATAAGATAGCTTCAGATATATTGTGCTCAGATCAGCTTTCTCTGCTGATGGAAATGAAACAATCGAATGAGATGAAATGCTATGGAAAAAGTACGAACTTTCAGTTTTATTATAATTATTAGAACCACAGCAGAGTATCAGTTTTGAGTATTATAAGTGATTGTCGTATATTAGCAGTTCATATAAAAGTTACAAAATAGAACTAAAATCTTTATTCACAGAGTGGCGAAAGGATGCAGCAGTTCAGGTTTGTCGTTAAAGTGATTATGTTATGTTTCATAAAGTTTATATTTTTATAAATCTGTCTTTGCCTCGCTATTAACCATCCACAAATTTATGGTTATTACTTTTTTAGAAAAAATTATTTTACTATAGGTATTTCGAAATTCTAATTCATTAACCATTAAATCATATGCAACCGCATCTAAATTGTCAAATAATATATTATTTTGTGTTGCGTTACTTTCTCTTTCAAACATATAACTATTTCAGAAGTTTTTCATCCATTCTGAGACCTGTATCCTGTATAAATAAAACCTCACGATTTTATTTATACAGGATAAAAATTTTTTTGGTATCTCATTTTCCGATTATTTAAATGTAACATAAAGAAACTGTATGCTTCTTCTGTACATTTATTATGCATTTTTGTAAGTTCTTCAGGTATCATATCATCTATTTCTCTCATATTCTGTTGAATTTGCCTTGGATGAATTAAAAAATATATATAAAGTAGTCACAGTTAATTCTTATACTTATAGGTCTTGAATAAAAAAGTTGTGTTATAATGGATGCAATTTTCTTTCTACCTATGATTAAAAAAAAAAAAAAACCTAAACGTTTGAGATTTTAAAATACGTCCAAAGGGGCGCTTTCTTAACATTTTGCATTTTACCTTTATTTATTAAATATCACGTTCTTCGCACTTAAACCATCACTTTCAGTTTAAGAGTAATATCGTAAAATCGTTTCAAATTGAGCATATCTTTAAAATTTCCAATACACAGTTTCGCGCGCTGGAGATCTCCCTTTGAAATCTTTGAGTTTGTTAATCAAAAATTCGTTAAAGCTTTACAAAATATTAAATCCATAATAAAACAAATTTCAAATTTGGTCTTCCACATACCCATATTCGTAGAAGGATTACGTTATTCAAAATTCGATGGCTCTATGTACCGTTGTTTTATCACAATGCGAGAAATATGCATACATTTATACAGATTTTTCATTATTTAATTTCTTCAAATATAATGCAAGACTCTGACATTTGGTGGCAACAGTTTGAAAAGTGAAACGGACATTTATAGCAAGGGGGTTAGAATAGAAGGAGGGAACGTTCAACTCAAATGGTGAAGCTTGGCGGCCATGTTCCTGTTATCGCTGTGACTTGTGCAAGGAAGTCTGTAATTGCAATATTTTTTTCTTTTCTTTTTGAAGCATGTCAGCTTGTGTTGTATATGGATGCACAAACAGATTTCGAAAAAGATTCTTGGGATTACTTTATTATTTAGTATTGATTTTCTTTTTTTTTTTAAGTAATTTGATAACTATGGTAAAAAATATCACAATGTCATGTTGTTTTATTTCCAGATGTGAAAAAAAGGACTTAATAATAATCAAAATATGTTAAATACATTTAATGTTTCTGTTTATAGCTGGCATCTTTGTTCCTTAACATACAATGATGTATGCTAGGATTTAAACTGTATAATTTGAAAGTTTTAGGTAATTCGTTTGATAATTTTCATGAAAAGTAAGATACCAATTGTTACTATTTTTATGAATTGTAAAGGTGTTAAATAAAGTAATGCTTCTCTTTATGTATTAATTATTATTCATTTTTAAGTTTTTTGAACTGTTAAGAATATAATTTGTGCATTTGATCAAGATAAACTAACTTTTCTGTTGTTAAATTTGTTTTACATAAATTTACAAATTTTTGGGCAGTATAGATTGGGAGGATTTCCGCCAACAGAGGACAAGACGTTGGCAGGAAAATATTTAAGGAAGGATAATTTTAAGTAAGTGTGCTCCTTAAGTAAGTTCCATCAAAGCCAACTAGATATCTAGTTGGCCTTGGTTCCATGCTCATAAGTTTACTGTGCGGAGCATTTAGAGAAGCTTTAGATTCGCAACTTCTTTCACACTATAACAGCTATGTATTTAATTTAAAGCAGAAGGTACATTAATGAAACTGAATAAATTAATAAAATGAAATAATTAGATAAAATAAATCAATCATTAATTAAATGAAATAAATTATCTTATTTTGATCTCTGACCTGGGTTAATGAATTAAAATTACTTATCTTATAGGGTAACCTAAACCATTAGAGTAATTAAAGTGAAGGCTTATAGTCTTTCACTGAACCATTTTTGAAATTTGCATATATATTTATATCTTCCGCTGCTAAATTTAGATTTATTTAACTATACAAATTGATGGAAGTTGTGAATGGAAGTTAATAGATAATCACAACATGTTTTAAGAAGTAGGGATACAACTCAGCTCAAATGAATATTCAAACTTGTTATCAAATGGCGCCCAGTTAGTTTTTGGTAATTGCCGGTTCTTCGTGAATAAATATGTCTGAACAGTCGGAGGAATCGAAGGTACAGAGTACGGAGGAAGCTTCGAACTGGATTCCTACTTCTTTTTCTGGGACTTCTGAAACAGGTGAAGCAGATTCTGTAAGTTCCTTTCAGTCATCGTCAACGCCGGGATTTACTGCTGTTGATCAACAATCTGATGATCAATCATTTGATATCATAAGTAGGCAGAAATTAAGTCTAACAAGTATCGGAGGAAGCAGTAGCCATGATAGAACTAGTCCTCGTGTTACTTCTGGTATTAATATGTTTGAAGAGGATACCAGAAGTTCGTGGAGTGTGGAGCCAAAGCAAACTCAGTTTAAAGAAACTGCCCTGGATGAAGATTCTCAGAACAGTGTGAACAGTCAAAAAAGTGCTTTAAAACGGCGATGTTCCGATGATGAAGATAGTCGCCGTACCTTTCCCCCCGAAAATTTGTTTGAATATATGTGGCCACAAGAAAATGGAGAATTTTTCATCCTCCAGGAACAAATATGTGATTATTTGAATGTGAAATCATTCAAAAGAAAATATCCAGATTTAGCAAGGAGGACAGTCGACATGGACGAAAAACAGTTCCTTAAAGAAAGAGGTGTGGTCACTGAAATGCAGTGCGATTTAGGATTAACTGCTCTACGCTCTGAAGAAGTTTTGGAACTGATGAGCAAAGATTACCCAGATCACTACAAAGAATATATCCGTGTTTTGCGTGAAAAAGAACAACAGACAATCAGTGAGAAACATAAGGAATATGCTGCCTCAAATGCTGATAAGTCAAAAATGGGTGATCTTGTAAAGAAAGCAGTCCAGTCTGCAGCAGAGTATAATGCCCATCTGAATCAAGAGAGACGAGAGGAAAGGCGTTCGTGCATGGACTTGCAGACCTTTACCATTCATTATCCTGTGAAGACAACCAAAGTAAAAACTTACACAAAGCCTGGCAAGTATCCTGTGTCACTATTACCGGGACAATTCCAAGATTACTATAAAGCTTATTCTTCTGATGAGTTAAAGTATCTTCCTGTGAATACAGTTTTGTATGGTCCTCTAAAGGAAATGAGTACCTTGAAAGCACCATCGGATGGTAGTCATTCCGATTCAGATGATAGTACAGCATCTGAAGGGTCTTGTTGCAGTTCTAGCCAAGGCACTCATGACGACAGTAGTTCTGGCTCAGAAAAAAATGAAAAATCAGAGAATAGTAGGAAGAGTACTGTTTCATTAGAAAAGTGCCCCCTATCATCAGATTCTGCATACCGTCAAAAAGTGAAACCAAATGCGATATGTAAAGTCTGTAAAATGGGACCTGAAGGTAAAGTCAAAGATGGTAAACCAGAAGAACTTGTACATTGTTCTGATTGTGAAAACAGTGCTCATCCTTCTTGCATTGAATTGACATCGGAAGTTGTAGATGTATTAAAGACATATCCTTGGCAATGTATGGACTGCAAGGTGTGTTCTCACTGTAGAGACCCAAATGATGAAGATAAAATGCTTTTCTGTGATGTTTGTGATCGTGGATATCATACGTTCTGTGTTGGTTTAAAAAGTTTACCTCAAGGAAAGTGGGTTTGTCGACGGTGTGGCTCATGTTCAGTTTGTGGGGCATCCAAGCCAGGACCAGAAACATCAAAAGCACAATGGCAGTATGATATTACTAAGGGTTCTGTTGAACTGGATGTAAATCGAAGACCAAAAATATATTGTCAGTCCTGTTTTAGGAAAAAGAGATAATATATTCAAATAAGGATGGATTTATTGGATGTACATTTGTAAAATTATCACTTGCAATGTAAATTCATTCAGAAGGGTTTCATGAGTAGTCAAAATAATTAATTTAAGGATCTGAAATGTTTTATTTGTAAATTTTTCATGGCATTTATATTGTTTTACTTTTATGATATTTTTAGTGAAGTTATGATAATTTTTTTTGTAGATATGGTGTCATAAAATGTGGATATTTAATTTTATAAAAATATAAGTTATGTAATAAAATTAAATTGGATGCAAGATATTTTTTAAAAAATATTTTAAAAATTATTATAATTATTTCAGAATGTGTGGTGCCAATTTAAATGTCTGGTAAATTTTAAATCTGGGATTAACTTCTTGGTGACATTTATTAAATAAGAAATGGTATACTATCTTTTATTGTTAAACTTTGTTCAGGAATTCTTTTGCATATTTATGACATTTCATCAAGGTAAATTTTTCATGCAGAATATGCTAATTTATTTCTTCAGATGACAAATCTGTTTAATTTTTAGTATCCTTCATTTTTTTATTCTTACTGAAGATGTCCTAAACTTCCCAGTAAAACTAAAACATTCCCAATTTTTCATCCAGTAACCCAATAAATCTCTAAATTTTTTGCTTTTAATTTTTTTCAAAATTTAGATTATTTCTTTTGATACCTTTCCGATATGCTTGCAGTTTGGCACTCGTTAAAGAGAAGCCAAACACACATTGAGACTCGATGATAGTGCCATTTGAGCTGTTGTGTATGTGTGTATCTATAAAATGTTCCTGTATTGAAAATTCGGAAGCACTTCCGCAGAGAACCCGGTAAATGTAAACATCGCCAACTTTGGCGATAATAGTTCAAACCTGGTAACCCAGCGGATTTATCCTGTTCGCTTGTTCGAAGTTTCAACCATTCCTCTTGGGTTCATTTTGTTGAATTTATTCGTCGTTTCGCATTTGCAGATTTTATTTATTCTTCTCTTATTTATTATTATTTTTTTTCTGAATATTTTAACAACGAATAGATAGAAATATTTTCGTAGATAGATGTCGGTTCTCTTGGTTCCGGGATGAAAGGAAGAAAATACGGCGGGAGGGGTGAATGCTAATTTGTAATACAGCTGTCCACGTTGTGTTCTTAATTATTAACAGCTGTAAGCATGCAGAACTATGATGTTTTTAACCCCTATAATAATTTGTTTTCGTAGACCGCAAAAATATGCATGTGCATTTTCAATAAGTAATGCTTTTATTTTTATTATTGGTAATTGTCATCTAAACTTATGAAAATAAATCAATTCTTATGGTGTAAAATTTTAACAACATAATATATTGTTAATGCTTTTCTAACAATACCTTTCAGAGGATAGCAGGTGTGACATAAACAGATGATTAAACTTGAAATAAAAAATATGATTGATTATCCTAAGATGACAGAATGTTTGATGCATCACCATGGTCATCAAAATTAGAAAACTACTGCTGGTGTAAGGAATATTGTTTCTGTATTAACTGGAATTTAAGGTAATTTTTTTCGTTTATCACGTTTAAACCGGTTAATTTAGTACATTAATACTAATTTAATTTTTCAAATGAATTTTTATTTCCGTTATAAATGCTTGTATATTGTCTTATACTTAATATATTCTTTTCTGTGCTAACTTGAATTTAATACAAATTTATTTAGTATATCACGTTTGACCAGTTAGTTTTACATCTACATGCTTATTATCTGTGAATTTTTACTACCATATGCTTAATATATTGTTTTGTCTGCTAACTTGAATTTACATGCACTAAAAATCACGTTTGTGGCTCAGCTCATTGCCGATGAAACGCGAGCTTGGCGAGTAAAAATGCAATGGCGCCAACGGGTTCTTTCCCGAAGCGCCAATGGGTTCTCTGCGGATGAAAACCCGAAAATTCTTCAAAATGCATAATGGCAGGTGCATGACAGAAAAATGTAGTCTTTTAAATATAGTTTTAGGAAAACTGCAGATTTATGAAGAAAATTGGTACTTTCTGATTACACCTCCACTAGAAAATTGCAAACTTATTGGCAACTTTGGAGAGCATTTGTGAACTTGTTGGTGATTATTCCTTCACCAAGCTAATTCACAAAAGCTGACAGTGATGCACTAAGAATTCCATACATGAGCAATTGATTGATAAAATTGAAGAGAACATTGGTAAAAAAGGAACGGTACTTAAGTACTAACGCAACCAGGCCGAAATTCGCATAAATTGCCAAATTTGGCGACCCTACTTACGGCAACCCTACGTGTTATACGTAGTTTTGTAAAAAGAGCATGTGGACATTCGCAAAATTTTCCTGCATTTTCGTGCAAATTTTTGTAATTTATGAGAAAAAAGCAGTGTACATGGATAAAGTCAAGAGTGTGCGCAATGCCATTTTGTGCAATTCTGGGATATTTTTT